CAATAGAGCTTCCATTCCACATGTATAACTGTACTTTTACTTGCTGATAGTTGGGGTTAAATTGCCGTTCCTGTTATTGGATTGGTAGATTTATCTAACTGGTTGTGGTTTCCACGAGAAGCAAATCAGGCCGCTGATTGCTTAGTGCCGCTTGCTAGACAGAAGCTATGTGCCGGGGCATTGTTTGATAGTGCCCCAACTTCCCTTATACTCATCTTACCATGGGATGGCCTTCTATGCCCCAACCAGTGTGATTTTGATCATTGGGGAGTTTGTGTAATGGTTCTCCTTTCTTGTTTTGCTGTTTTTCTTTTTGCATCTCCTGACTGTTCCTCTTTGATCAGTCCTTGCTTTCGTTTTGGAGTTTGGCCTGCATGTCTTTTCTGTTTGTTCATTTGGGCCTGAGGTCTATTGTTGTGTTCTTTTCATTGGAATGAAAGTTTCGTTGGCACAGGAAAAAAAGAAGAAAAACCCTGTCAGGGGGGAATATCTTGTGCTTGCCTTTCCGCTATTTTTTTTTTTTTTTCTGATTGAATTGTTATTTATGTGTTTGTAGTTATCTTTTTTTTTTTTGTATGAATTTTTGTATCTCATTGAAAAATTTCCCATGTGCTACTTGACTAAGAGATCTAGCTGTTTCCCATGTTTAAGTTCCTGCCAAAATATACCTTTGGAGTATAAAACTTCTGACCATTTGACTTTGGTTTTATCTGTTCATACAATTGTAATGTGCATCAGAGAGAGCACAATATGAAAATTCTAGTGATACGAGTGATACCCTAACTTGAATTAACAATATGACATTGTGGCGTATATGCAGCTGAACTCTCACCCTGTACTTATAGAAGTAATTTGACTACTAATGTCAAAGTTTAGATGGTCTCTAGAGGAAAATGTCTGAATTTGTATTTTGTTGATAACAGATGATGAATAATCTGTCAATCATTTTTGAGATTGAGCCAGCTATTTGGTTTAGCAACATTTTCATGCTTTGTAGGTCATATTTATGCACTATCTTTGGTTTGGTTTAGTAGTGTTGGAATTGAAGCGAGGTCCCGAGTATTTCCTCCTAGGTTGATGTGAATTGACTTTTATTACTTTGTGATGTGGCTTGTCACTTTGTTCAGTGTCTTACTTGAATGTGACTGCCCTTTTGCAGGAGAGATATACGAGACTTGAGCAGGTTGCTCGTGAGAGTTTAAATTTTACGGAAGAAATATTGAGTGCTAGATCGTTTTCCAGGCAGCTGGCTGAGCAAATGACACTTGCCAAAGCTTATGTTATTATTGCCAAAGAGCACAACAACCTTCATCTTGCTTGGGAGCTTAGTTCAAAGATCCGGAGTTGCCAGCTTGTACTGTCATCGGCTGCCATGAGGGGGGAGCCTGTGACATTAGAGGAAGCGGAGCCAATAATTAAAAGCCTATCATATCTTATATTAAGAGCCGAAGATGCACATTATGACATTGCAACCACAATAATGACAATGAAATCTCATATCCAAGCCCTTGAAGAGCGTGCAAATGCCGCAGCAATTCAAAGCATGGTATTCGGGCAACTAGCTGCTGAATCATTGCCCAAAAACCTCCATTGCCTAAATGTTAAGCTCACAGCTGATTGGCTTAAAAAGCCATCTCTGCAACAACATGCCAAAGAGAAGAGAAATTCTCCCAGACTCATGGACAACAATATCTACCATTTCTGCATATTTTCAGACAATGTGGTTGCCGCCTCTGTGGTTGTCAACTCCACCGTCTCCAATGCTGACCATCCAAAACAGCTGGTCTTCCACATTGTCACGAATGGGATCAACTATGGCACAATGCAGGCTTGGTTCCAAAGTAATGATTTCAAAGGGTCCACAATAGAAGTGCAGAATGTTGAGGAACTTTCTTGGTTTAATGCTTCTTATGCTCCTGTCATGAAACAACTCCTTGATGCAGATTCACGAAAGTACTATTTTGGTGGATATCAAGATATGGATGTTGTGCCAAAGCTGCGGAGCCCCAAGTATCAGTCTTTGCTCAATCACCTTCGATTCTACATTCCAGAGATCTATCCGCAGCTGGAGAAGATTGTTTTTCTTGATGACGACGTTGTTGTCCAGAAGGATCTGACCCCACTTTTCTCGTTGGATTTGCATGGAAATGTGAATGGAGCAGTGGAAACTTGTCTTGAAGCATTTCATCGTTATTACAAGTATCTCAATTTCTCAAACCCAATCATCAGCGCCAAGTTTGATCCACAGGCATGTGGATGGGCCTTCGGTATGAATGTCTTTGATTTAGTTGCTTGGAAGAAAGCAAATGTAACTGCACGGTATCATTACTGGCAGGAGCAGAATGCTGATGGGACACTTTGGAGGATGGGCACTCTTCCGCCTGGGCTTCTAACATTTTACGGTCTGACAGAGCCGCTCGATAGGAGATGGCATGTATTAGGACTGGGGTACGATCTGAACATTGACAACCGATTGATTGAGAGTGCAGCGGTGGTTCACTTTAACGGGTACATGAAGCCGTGGCTGAAGTTGGCCATTGGCAGGTATAAGCCACTCTGGGAGCGGTATGTAAATCAAAGCCACCCATTTCTGCAAGATTGTGTCACAAGCTAGATCGTGCTGCTTCTCGATTGCTCGTAATTCATGCGATCATCACGACTTTTAAACTCTCAGCGCCGGAAAATATGATCGCTGTTATTGTAAAGTCAGAAGTAGAAAATTTTTTGAATTTTGCTAGACAGTTTTCTTTTTGCATCATAGTTTTCTGAAAGAAAAGGAGCATTGTTTTTATAGAAGTTAGAAAAGTTTAAATTGATTTTTTGCCTGATGGGGTTTTCTTTTTCCCCCCTCTGCAAGCTGTAGAATTGGGGAGATGTGTTTTTTTTTTTTTTTTTTTTTTTTAATCTTTTCCTTCTACGATGGCTTGAGAAAGGAAGAAATGAAATTTTCTGTTAAATATTGTTAATTAATTGATCGTTTGCCGCCATTCGTAAGTGGAAGGTTTTAAGGTTGACGAGTTCGATACTATTTAATTATAATTTGCTCATCGTGTGCTTATTCCAAATCTCTCATTTGCAGCCCTTCTATTAACAGAACGGGAGAACCTGGAATTGTTTGGAGCATCATCTCTATAAAGTACCAATGAAATCGAATGTGGTTTAGTTATTCATGTATAGAATAAATTTAGAGTTGGTTCCAAGTAACATATTATGATTAATCGTTTATTTATTTGGTACGTATAGATAACTAAGCGGTTTCTAGTTCAAATGACTTTTTGCAAAGATGATCTTTGAAAGATAATTAAGAAAACGAATAGTTTTGATTCGTATGATGAAAATATGTAATTTACAAATGGCGGATAAGGTAGTGCACCCAATGGGTTGAATGCCAGTATATTTAATTAGGGTAATGTTATGGCGACTAAATTTGGAGATAAAATTTGTAAACTAAATGATGTGTCACCAATAGAAATGAACATGTTTATCAACGCTTAAGCAGTGCACCCTATGGGTTGAATGCCAATATATTTAATTAGGGTAATGCTAGGGCGATTAAATTGGAGACAAAATTTGTAAACTAAATAATGTGTCACCAATAGAAATAAACAAATTTATCAACACTTAAGTAATAAACCAATCATCAACTTCTATGTCCTTTAGTTTCCAAAATTTTGTCTACAAATGTCTCCCTAGCATCAGCCATTAAAATATTATCTATTAATCTAATGGTTCAAAATTTGAGTAAGAAAATTTATATGGATAATACTTTTGTGCTACTCATGGGAATCTACTTATCCCCTCATTTATGATTAATGTATCTTCACCATATGAATTTTACATTCGGAACCGTTCATACTCTTTATCATCATCTAAAGATTATATCTGTAAAAAACATCAATCAATTTGAAGAATGTTTAGTCACATCCATGTATGTCAAACCAATCGACAATTTTGATAACAAGTATCATCTTTATAATGAACTGTCCATTTGTTTGATACATATGAATGTTTAAACGATCTCCAAATTGAATGATTTTTGTGCAGCATCTAAAGATTATATCTGTAAAAAAAAAATCATTCAATTTGAATAGCGTTTAGTCACATCCATGCATGTCAAACCAATCAACAATTTTGATAACAAGTATTATTCTTATAATGAACCGTCCATTTGTTTGATGCATATGAATGTTTAAACGATCTCCAAATTGAATGATTTTTTTGCAGATATGATTGTTAAGTGATGATAAAGAGTATGAACTGTTCTAATTATAAAGTTCTTGCATTGAAGATATGTTAATTATAAGTTGAGGAGGGAACTCAAGCATTATTCAATTTATGTAGTGCCATGGATATTCCTTCCCCATATAAAAGGTTTACTAAACCTGTAGACTTTAGGTCCTGAATCCTTATCGGATCATCAGGTCTTCAGCCTCCCAATTAGCTTCTGAGGCATGCCACAATATCTCCAATGACGATAGGAAGGAAGACAAAGCCAACCGAGATATTACTACTTGAGCTCAAGTGTTACTGCCAAGCATTCCGAAAGACAAAAGCTGGAACACTGCCTAGCTAAGATAATAATTTCTAATTATTTGGCACTGAATAGCAATTATTTAATTCATGTGTTTCAATTCTTCCAAGTCCTTAGTCACTTAGTTTAAGCCGTTGGATAAATCAAATAGTCAAATATATGTCGGTACTGAGTACCTATAAATACTCAAGAAAACTCACCTAGTTATGATCTCACATCAATATGCCTCTCGACAATGCATTTTTGCGTTGGAGCATTTATTAGTTTACTTTGGATATGCAAGAATTCTGCATAATTTCAAGCTCATGGACTCGTCCATGGAATGAATTTTTTTAACTACTAATATTAAGGAGAGGGAAGAATTCGAAACTATTACATTAATTTAGTAGATGAGCAAGTTTCAAACCCGAGATGCATGGGTAGAAACCAAACGTCCCAAACAATTACATATTACCTGCTCGTTAAGTTTCTAAAACTTCAAACCAGATGCCCCAAACTTTTGCTCTGTGATTTTGTCAAGACGCTCGAGCATCTCAGGCGTTAGATGCTTCTGTGAATCTCCGGTCTCCCCTCGTCTGAAGAAGACATCGTTGCTGAATTTTTCATCGGTTTTCGGCCCCACATGATACGTCCCACTTTTGTTCACCTCCAAACTACTCAAGTTCTCAAAACTGCAAAACTTTATTATTTCTTGCACAGCCCCTTCTTTCTCTTCTTCTGAAGAAAATGGATATCCTATGAACTCTGCCAACCTCTTTACGCATCCTTCTGTATCAGCTTTCAAATCCTCAAACTTAAAAAATAGCACCTTATTAGGGTTTTTCAAGCTTGCTTCCCAGTACCCCTAGTACATGATCCCAAAACGGGCCTGCAAGTGCAACCCCTTTGCAAAACAACTCAAATCCTTCTTCTAGAGAGAGAGGAGGGAGTCTATATACCTTCGACCTTAGTTTTTCCGAAAATGCCCAAAAGGAAACGAGAACATCTTTCGGGTTCCTTGCAATGTACACAACCCGTGTATCTGAATCCAAAAGGGAGTTCGGCAACGATGAGTGAGGGATATGGGATGCAAGCAATCTTGGTGAGGCCATAGAGTCGAGATACTCAACTGGATTGTCTTGGTGAACAAGCAACTCTATGTAGGGCACAATATCATGAGGGTTCTTTGTGAGCAATGGATGTGACGAATAATCGCAGTCTTTCCGGTTTTTTATGGCAATCATGAGAGCCTTCACCCATGTTGTACCACACTTGGGAAAGGTGGCCAGGAAAATGTCAGAGTCCCTAGCCCTAAAATCCTGTTGTGCCCAAATCACACCTTCAAGAAAAACCTGGGGGTACCAGAAGTTCTGGTACTGGTAGTAATGCTCAGCTGCCCAGCCTGTGTCCTTAGGGAGGGTTGAGATAATTTCTTGATCAACACCAAGAGAGACAGAAGCCATAATCTAATTAAAAGACACGAAACAATTAATCTTGTAATTAATTAATATAATCACAAGAACCACAACATTTTATGGGGTCAATTTGTGGATGCAAATGTGTTTAGTGTTCCCTTAATTCATGGACTTGACCCAGTCATAAACATATCCTATCCGCAAAATCATATGCACCAACTTCAAACAAAACAACTCCGTGAAATTTCAACATTTTTTAAGAAATCGTCTTCTTGCATTTTTGAAGCAAAACCATCATAATTATATCATCATAATTTGAGTCTCATACCGCATTCTTTTCAATTAATAAGATTTGTAATCTATTTAGCCTATTTTGAGTTAAAGTGGTTTGCAAGTAAAATTTTAATAATTTCAATTTTAGATAATTACTAGAGAGTTGATTCTAAAAGAAATAGCTTCAAGCCTTCAACTGCATTTCTAACAAAAACTTCCAATTCAAATTATCATTTCAACATATATATTATCATAACATTCCAACTGCATTGCTAACAATCCTTGGTTGCTGGGCAAGGGCCCGGGCTGATCCTCAGTAGCGCAAGCTCGAAACATACCGGTGGTATTGAAAGGCATATATGGTGACTTCACCTACGGCAGACACAGCAACCAGCCCTACATTTCCTTTTGGAGCACCCTCCTCCATGACCGCGACATAATCTGCTGCTTCTATGAGAGAAACACCTTTGAACTCCATAAGAGCTGCCACATCCCTTGCAACCGTGCCACGAATAATTGCTTCGGCTTTGGCCGTAGCAGAAACTGCGCAGAGATTGTTGGCATATGTCCATGCACCAATGATGGGCGTGTCCCCAATCCGGCCAACCATCTTGTTGACTAATCCGCCAGTAGAAGTTGCAGAAGCTAACAGTCCCAAGTTTACTATCACCATCAGCGTCTGGGGTTTCTTCCTTCTCATCTTTGTGAGGGGCTTGTGGTAAGCACATGTAATACCTCAGCTTTGTCTAAATTTATATATATAAACGTTAAAACAACAACCAAAATTGGCCTATTAGCTCAGCTGGTTAGAGCGTCGTGCTAATAACGCGAAGGTCGCAGGTTCGAGACCTGCATGGGCCATTTTTTTTCAATTTTTTTTTTATTTTTTACAGTAATTTTTTTTTATGTTTTCACAGAATATAAAATGCCTGACACTTTTATTTTTTGCATTTTTTTTTATTTTTACAATAATTATTTTTTGGTTTCACGGAATACAAAACGCCGGACACTTTTATTCTGCTTTTTTAATATTTGTTTTTTTTTATATTTTTTACGAAAATTATTTTATAGCTAAATTGGTTTCTACAAGTTTCTAACCAAAAGTTGATGATATGTTTTTCAACGAGAGAGAAGTCATGAATCGAGAAAATAAGAGATGAAATTAATATGAAACCAACTAGCTCACATAATTTCTCTGTTTTCCAAATTTTTATGTGTAGGATTACGAATTCTAAAATAAAATTATTACTTTTTTAACTCATGAAGAATTAGAAATTTAGAATAATTCTACTGCTCATGTTTTAGTAAACACAATAATTCAAGAATCGAAATAATTCTAATTCGCATTCCATACAAAATAAACATGCCGTAAAAGCTTTGATGGCACAATACAGTACTAGGTCGAGAATCAGAATAATTCTAACACTAAACCCAGTTTAGCCTTATATAAAACATTCCATCAAGAAATATTACAACGTAAACTACAGGGGCTGAGAAATTACAAAGCTTGTTTCGACCAATAAAATAAAACAAACCTGCAAAGCTTGTAAACCTTCTTGTTCTATGTACCGAGAATTCGAAAGGATGAAGTTAATCCCGTCAGTATCCCATTTAGCGTTAGGGATGTGGTGGTGGTGGTGACGGTGATGGTTGTAGGTACCCATTGCCCGTTCCTCTACTTCCGTCTTGCTTCACCAAAGATTTCAATGACTCGGGAGATCCCCGTGTGTTTAAGTTTTCTGCTTCAAGAACACCCTGAATGGACAAGAAAACCAGTCAACACAATGACGGGAGACAAACCAACATAAACGGATACAAGAACAACAACCACCTTAAGGATCATAATTGCTGTCTCCCTATGTAAATCTTCATTATATGCCGTGCACGCAAAACTCTGCGACGCAAAATGTTTTAAGTTACTTCGGAGAGAGAGAGAGAGGGTAAATATAGAGAATGTGAGACATACTTGTACACAGTTAGGGCAGCCACCATATCTTGAGCAGCTGCAAGATGTAAGAAGTTCGATAGCAGGAGTAAAGAGCTCCATTAATATCGGTTGAACCTATTACATGTCCAAGCATATCAGTTTCAACAGAGGGTCAACATACATATTGCTGTCCAGAGGTCAGAATTATCTCCGGAAACCAAGCCAGGGCATTGGAACGAAGCCATCTTCTGATGATTTACGAATTTGAACAAAGTTTCATCTAACTCACCTGTACAGAGACACCAGTCCCTCCACGATGCTGGTCATAGAATAGAATCCTTTCTGGAAAATAGGATTTGTCAGTAGGGTATGGACACTCTGGAGCCAAGTCAGATAAGTTGCATATTATCCGTCTGCACATGACAACATCAAGCATCACAATGCAGTCAGATGCTTTAAATTCTTAAGAACATCTCAATGGCGAACAAGAATGTTATATAAGAAAGAGAAATGTAAGGGACTCACAAAGGCACAACGTGTAGAACAGCATGTGTTGCAGCATGCAGTCCAGCACGGAAATCAAGGTCTTTTGCCTCCACTGCTTCCCTTATCCAATGTGGAACTGGAACCCACACTGCCTGTTTGGATGAAACGATGAAACATTTTATTTTTATATATACAAAAGAACCAAACAACAATTTAAAGTTTAAAAACACCAAACAATAGAACCATTGACAACATTAAAAAGTACTCAGGTTTACCTGTGACTCATAAGTATATTCCGGAAGTTTATGTTCAACTGATTCAAGTACCTCGTGCGTTGCTTTACTTATGCTAAAGTATCCAAGCCATCTAGTTGTTACTTTGCAAGAATCTGTTCGGGCAGATGTTCTGGAAACCTTAGGTGGATGAGCCTACAACACCAGGACATGTAGCAGGTGAGCGTTTAGAAATCATCATAACTCATAAGCATGATGAAATGTCCATAGAGAGGAGTATGAGACATAAACAAAAACAAAATTCCAAGTTAATGAATTGAAAAATTGCAGAGATAACTGTTTCAAGGCACTGAACAGCGGCCAAAGCTGAACGCTGGCCTCTTCATTGTATGGGGGAGAGATACGGGTAATCCAGAAAGGGTGTACTATTGACTACTTCAATATCAGATATATGAGCCTACTCCAAATATCTAACAATAATCCTGTATAACATAAAAACTTATCTGTTCCTGTATTAGTATCCAAATTCTGAGATACAAGACCATCATGGATTTCCAATCACCAGATTGACTCATGCAATTTATGGAAAGGCATTCAGGAACAACGAACAAATGTTAAGAGCTGACCTACCATATTACCACCCATGATATGAACTCTTGTGCAATCACGGGGTTTTGTGTAATAATCCAAATTAGCTGCTCTGCATAAAGCTTCCTTACTCCATGTATCTAAGCTTGTGACCAGGTATGTATTTCCTTGGTTCATATAAACAGCACCTTTATATACCTGGAGTGAAGTATCATTAAATTGTCTAAAGAAAATTAGTAAAGATATAAATGGGGTGTGCAGAATACTTAATAGATTTCCGACAAGATAGCAAATGTACTATTAATGTGCATTATAGTTTACCTGAAAGAAAGCCTTGCCCTCCTCGATCTCTTCAAGGATTTCTTTCTTTTGCTGGTCTATAACTTTGTATTTCTCAGAATCTATTGATCGGATGCTTACTGAACGTGAAGGCATTTTCTAGAAAAATATGCACAAATAATGTCATGTTAAAAACCAAAGCCAGTCTTCCTTAAAATATATACACAGAGCTCACTAGAGCATGCTACAAGAGGGAAAGAAACTATAACCAAAAGAACGGAAAAATCAACCCAGATAATGCAAAGAAATTATGTACCTCTTGCCCAATATAGTTCCAAATCTCGGCAGACGAACTACACGATGGATCAAGACTCAAATACCCTTTATTTTTAAGAGGCACTATGGCACTGTTCATACTAGAGCCGAAAAACCTTTCATCATAAGACAAACTCAGGGGGTGTTCTAGAGCAGCACAAACCAAATGCTGTGCAAGAACCTACAAGGAAACAGATATCAAGAAGCACAAAATCATTATCACCATTTCTTTAGACACGAACAAATGGAAGGAATATTGATGATGGAAAATTTAAAACCATTTGGTTCTTAGCATCGACATGGCAGCGCTCAATTGGGCTTCCAAAAAGTTTATTTGGTTGTTTCATGAAGTATTGATCAAGGGGCCCTTCAAATGCAACATACACTGCAAGAGAATGTCTCTCTCTCCTTCCAGCCCTGCCAGCTTGTTGCCACAAGCTATTAACAAAGACAGAAAAGAGCAAACAATTATGGAAAGCAATAAAATACTAAATCGTAACAATTTGAACAATAAGCTAAAGCATTGATGGCCTGGAACTATACCTAGATATACTACCAGGAAAACCCAAATGAAGAGTTGCATCTATGTGTCCAACATCAATACCCAATTCAAGGGCATTTGTTGCAGCAATACCACAAAGTTTTCCATTGAAAAAATCCCTCTCTATCTTTCTCCTATCCTGCTCCATCAGTCAATCAATTAAAAACCAGTTGTATACCTCAACCAAAATTAAATACTGGCAGAACATAATGCGGGGTGAACAGCTTTTACTAGCCTCTGCAATGTAACCACCACGATAAGAACATATAGAGTCCACTAAATTGGGTGCGGTCTCCAGAAGAATCTCACGCCTGCAGAATTATATTAATTTATTTCATGAAATAAACCTTCTTTACTATATTAGCAGTAAGTCCAAACACAAGGTAAATAAAAAAACCATGGGGCT